AATGTGGATGGTGAGGAGCTGGCAGAGTAGGTCATGGCTCTCGAAGATCAAGGGTTTTGGAAAAGGAAACCCCAGTTCGAGCCCCTACACTTAGAAGAAAGAACACCACCACCTGCGAAACCATCGATAAAGGAGCCACCACAGTTGGACCTGAAACCGCTTCCAGCTCACCTCAGGTATGTTTTCTTAGGGACTAATTCTACTTTACCTGTTATTATATCATCCGATTCGCTAGCTGTGCAGGTAGAGCAACTCCTACAGGTGTTACACGAATGTAAGACTGCTGTTGGTTGGACCATGGCAGACATAAAGGGTATCAGCCCAGCTTTTTGTATGCACAAGATTCTCTTGGAAGAAGGGCACAAACCTTCCAGAGAACATTAACGAAGGCTGAAGCCGAATATGAAAGAGGTGGTAAAGAAGGAAGTGATCAAGTGGTTAGATGCGGGTATCATCTTCCCCATCTCTTTGGGTCAACCCTGTTCAGTGTGTGCCGAAGAAGGGAGGAATGACGGTCGTACAAAATGAGAATAACGAGTTAATCTCGACTCGTATAGTCACGGGGTGGCGGATGGATTATCGGAAATTGAACACAGCCACCCGGAAGGACCATTTCCCCTTGCCATTCATTGACCAAATGTTGGACAGGTTGGCTGGGCGATCTCACTTCTGTTTCTTGGATGGATATTCGGGGTACAATTAGACTCAATAGCCCCCGAAGATAGAGAGAAAACATCCTTCACCTGTCCGTATGGCATCTTTGCCTTTCGGAGAATGCCTTTTGGACTTTGCAATGCACTAGCTACATTCTAGAGGTGTATGTTAGCCATTTTCATAGACATGGTTGAAGACATTATGGAGGTATTTATGGGTGATTTCTCCATGGTGGGGAATTCATTCGAGGGCTGTCTTCACAATTTAAGAAGAGTGCTCAGAAGATGTGTGGAGACAAATTTTGGTGCTGAATTGGGAAAAGTGCCATTTTATGGTACAAGAAGGGATAGTCTTGGGGCATCGAGTATCGAGTAAAGGAATTGAGGTTAACCATGCAAAGGTTGACGTGATTGAGAAGTTGCCACCGCCCACTTCGGTCAAGGCAGTGAGAAGTTTCCTTGGGCACGCCGGGTTCTACAAGCGATTCATAAAAGATTTCTCTAAGATTGCTAACCCTTTATGTAAACTTCTTGAAAAGGATCAACCTCTTTGTGTTTTCTAATGATTGCAGGTTGGCATTTGAGGAACTGAAGAAGAGATTAGTGATTGCACCCATCATTGTTGCACCCAACTGGGAGCAACCGTTCGAGCTCATGTGCAACGCAAGTGACTATGCTATAGGAGCAGTCTAGGGGCAGTGAAAGGACAAGCTGATGCACCCAATTTACTATGCAAGCAGAATGCTAAGCGGTGCACAGCTCAATTACACCGTGACGGAAAAGGAGATGTTGGTTGTAGTTTTTGCATTCGACAAATCCTGGTCGTACTTGATTGGTTCAAAAGTTATTGTTTATACTGACCATGCAGCAATTAGGTACCTGATAGCAAAGAAGGAGTCAAAGCCACGCTTGATCCGCTGGGTTCTTTTGCTACAAGAATTCGATCTGGAGATGCGTGATAGAAAAGGGACAGAGAACCAAGTAACAGTCCACCTCTCAAGGTTGGAAGGAGCTGAAAAGAAGGTAGAGGTTGAAGATATAATAGAGACATTCTCGGATGAATAGTTACTAGCAGTGACAATGGAAGAGACGCCATGGTATGCCGTTATTGTATCACGACCCGAATTTCCCATCGTCGGGACCGTGATGGCGCCTAACATTGTACCCGCTAGGCAAGCCAACGTTACAGAATATTTCACGTTTTCCTTTATCTTTAAATAATTAAAACTTAACAAAAGTAAATCAGCAGAAATAAATGCGGAAGAACACAGTTTAAAAGATTATCTTTATGCTAATAACAAAAACCGTAATAATTTCCACCCAGAACTGGTGTCACAACTCACGAACAGTCTACCAATACTACAAATAATGGTCTGAAAGAAAAGTTTACATCTGTCTCGAAAGTAGATAAAATAGAAATAAAATAGGGTAGAAGGGGATTCCAGGGCCTGCGGACGCCTGCAGGACTATCTTGGGTCTCCCGGAAGTAGTGATAGCAACCAACCTCACGATCAACCACTAGCTCCAAAATCTGCACAGAAAGTGCAGAGTGTAGTATCAGTACAACCGACCCCATGTACTGGTAAGTGCCGAGCCTAACCTCGACGAGGCTGCAGCGGGGCATACAACATATACAACCTGCAATAGTTTATACTAAACAGAAAGGAAATACAGGATGTAATAAAGCAATAACTGGCATCAAATAAATTCGGAACCCAGTTGTTCTACTAGTATTCAGATATAACCAATCCTTAAGGGTGTTTCAACATCACAGTAATGGACCTCAACAGATATGAATACATAACAACAACTGATGCGGCGTGCATCCCGATCCCATCATATAAACAACAACAGTATCAATATTCACCCTGATTCCTCCTTGTTGCGGTGTGCAACCCGATCCCACATGTCCACCCTTATTACTCCTCAACATATATCACCCTTATTCCCCCTGTTGCGGCACACAACCCGATCCCACCTGTCCACTCTTATTACCCCTTGTTGCGGCGTGCAACCCGATCCCACCAGACAATCACATTTCACCCTTATTCCTCATGTTACGACGTGCAACTCGATCCCAATATATATATCAGCACCAAACACAAAAGAATAAAGACAAGTGTTTCACAAGCTAACTCAAATTCTCCACATTACTTATACCTCAATCCACACAATGGAATATTACTACGATTATGAAACTTCACCGGTGAAAACTACTCAGCGAGACCAACCAAGGTGCACCATAAGGCACCGATAAATCAATACAAGCCAACAGGGTAACAAAATGAAGCTACGAAACAAATAATACTTCAACGGGAACATCAACAGTTAACATGAAACAATTAAATAATTCAATGAAGAGAACAACAGTTAATATGAAGCAATTAAACATGGAAACATTTATGAGCAAGTAGCAATTAAGGCAGGAAAGCAAGATATAGGGAAACGGGGAAAGAAAACAGGCTAAACAAGTAATTTGGCGACGCATAGATGCTCGTCACCACACCTATACGCCACACATGATATCTCACATAGCAAGCAAGTCGAGGATTCCTAATCCCTCAAGTCAAGGTTAGACCAAACACTTACCTCAAGCCAACGGGTATTTCAAAGCTCAATCACCGCTTTACCTCTTGATTCCACCACCAATTCACTCGTATCTAGCCATAATTAACTTAGTAACATCTATAAACGCTAAAGAAACCAATTCCAATGCATAATCAAAGATTTCCCTACATTTTTCCCAAAAAGTCAAAAATCGACCCCGAACCCGCTTGGTCAAACTTGAAGTTCACACCAAAACCCGATTACCCATGCACCCCCTAGCCCGGATATACAATTGGTTTCGAAATCCGGCCTCAAATTGAGGTCCAAATACCCAAATTTCAAAATTCCTAAATTCTACCCAAACACCAAATTTCCCATGAAAAACCCTAGATTTTGAGATGAAATCATGTAAAAAGATGAAATAGATTGAAGGAAATGAGTTAGAAATCGTTCACCTATGATTTGGGGAAGAACTCTCCTTTGGAAAATCGCCTATGGGAGCTTAGGGTTTGAAAATTTGAGAAATGATTTCAAAATCCCGTCTAAGTCATGTTTTGATCAGTTGCAGATGTCGCATTTGCGACAGGAGCTTCGCAATTACGAAGCTCGCGAATGTGAGACAGGTGTTGCAATTGCGAACCTGCTGCATTCCTGCTACTGTCGCAATTGCGAACCATTGGTCGCAATTGCGAAGGTTGACCCCTCCCTGATGACTTCACAAATGCGAAGGTTCGTTCGCAAATGCGAACTATGCTGGCCCAGGGCTTCTTCGCAATTGCGATAAAAACCTCGCAATTGCGAGATCAGAGCCTGCAACCAATACCAGATGCAACAACAGATTTTTCTAAGTCCAAACTCACTCTGTAGCCTATCCAAAACTCACTCGAGCCCTCGGCTCTAAACCAAACATGCATACAAGTCTAAAAATATCATACGGACTTGCTCGTGCGATCAAATCGCCAAAATAACATCTAGAACTATGAATTAAACACCAAAACTCATGAAATTTCAAGATAGTTCAAAATTTCTAACTTTTCAACCAAAGGTCCGAATTACATCAAATCACCTCCGTTTTTCACGAAATTTCACAAACACGACTTAAATATTATATCAAACCTGTACCGAGCTCCGGAGCCAAAATACGAGCCCGATACCAATGAGATCACACTCTATTCCATTTCTAAAAATCCTTATATTTTCCAGCAAATAATTTTCTTCAAAAATTTATTTCTCAGGCTAGGGACCTCAAAATTAGATTCCGAGTGTAGACATGTTATTTTTTGGCCCTCCCCAAGATTTTTTATATTTTAGCATGTAAATATTTAATTTAGGCCTAATATAGCTATTTTAACTATTTTTGACTTCTTGACTTCATTATCGTCATAAAAATGGAAAATTACAAAAACATTTTAGTTTTATATATTTTTCATAATTTTTAAAAAATATACAAAAATAGTACCTTATTTTTTATCTTTATATAATTTCGAAAACATAAAAATAGTTTCATGTTTAGTTTAATTAAATAGGATTAGCTTTGGCATTGTGTAGTATTTTTTATCCTATTTTAAAAGGAGTCAATTAAGGTGTTGAATTACAATTTTAAAAGTTTTAGAGCCCAATCCTTGGCCCGATTCGGATTAATCCATTAAGCCTAGTGACCCTTCTAGACTCTTGTTTGGAACAAAAAATAAATAAAAAAGACCTAAGGACTTAACACAAAAAGATCTAGGGACTAATTGGCAAAATACACAAATATAAACCTAGACCTAGACTCTACATATAGACTAAGACCCTAAGAGCAACCCGAGGCCTAAGAAAAAAATTTGGAGCTTCAGCCGCAAAGACCAAAAATGAAAAAGTTATCCTCTCAAGAATGAAAATCAGCTGCTAGACCTAGGGACTTGAAGCTGTCCGCCATTTCCCATCACAAATACGAGACCCCCACTCCTTTGGATCATTTTTTTGATTCCAACAAAACCAGACCATCAGCTATACGAATCCGAAATCAACCGTTCGTCCTCCAAAACCAGCACTCGTCGTTGAACTGCCGTGTGATTCAAATCCTAGCTGGTTTCGGTTTTAGTTATTGGAAAAAGAGGGGTTTGAGTTGAGGACGACGATGGCGTAGTTGAGTTCCGACGGGGTTTTGAGGTTTCGTGGAGGTTCTCGGTTATTAGCGGCTAAGAAAGGTGTATGCTCAAGTTCATTTTGAAAAGGCTTCTAAAGGTCTGTTACTCACCTATTATTTTTGCATTCATCCTTCAAATACAGAAGTTGTTCTTATTGTTTGAATCTTCACGTTATCTGTTTGAGCTCTCATGAACTTTGTACAGCTTTTTGTTTGTTGAGATGAATTATTTATTAGTATTAAGCTTGTCTAGTTCCATTAGTAGATTGAGATACAATATTTTTGTTTTGTTTAAGCTAAACAATGAAGAGATATTTGGGTTTACTGTTTGTGGGCTATGGGGTCTGGTTTAAGTCGTTGGGTGTGGGTATATGCTACAAGAGAATTGGGTCTCTTACCTTGATTTTGCTTATTTAGCCCTTTTTCTGAAATAGCAAACTTGTTTATAATTTCCACCGCAGTAATCTATGGCCCTCGTGAGTTAATTTAGATACCTTTTGGTCAGAGTATATCGGAGGCGTACTATATTAGGCCCAAGACTGAATTGATAACCAATCCTTTAAATAATTGAAACATTGTAGGCCTGGGCCTTTCAAGTTAAGTAGCGGATTCGAGCTAAGGGTTTCTTCAGTAACGGAGATCGCCTTGTTCGGATTCGGACTTGAGCTTGGGGCCCGAATTTCCTTGAATACCATAATGTTAGTTAATTCATAATGTTAACAAATTAAGTTTTTTTTTTTAGAGACAATTCTTATAGATAATGCTAGTTCGTCTTTAGGTTGTCCTTTAAGAACGAATTGAGGTGCGCCGTGCCAAATAAAATCACAAATTACGTGGCCCTCTTTAATTGCTTTATTAAAAATATTTTAGAAATTCGGGACGTGCCATTTAGCGAATTTTCATGGCCTCCCGCAAAGTTAACAAGACGCTATCCACTTTAGGCGCGCTTTTTAATAATTTTACCTTCTTAACTACGGGTATGCATTTCATGCGACCCAAATCCAAATCCCAAAACGTTGAATAAGAGGTGTCAAGGATCCGGGTGCATTTCATGTGACGTGATCCAAAAACACGCTCTTAAACGACGTTCACTTTCATAAAAACTAATTAAAAGCGGTTAAACAATTCTAAAATTGCAATAGGATAACATGTATTAAAATTGGACTTTAGCCAAATATAGCAGTTGAGCGACCGTGCTAGAACCACGGAACTCGGGAATGCCTAACACCTTCTCCCGGGTTAATAGAATTCCTTACTCGAATTTCTGGTTCGCGACTGTTAATACAGAGTCAAACCCTTTCCTCGTTTCGGGATTCAAACCGGTGACTTGGGACACCATAAATCTCCCAAGTGGCGACTTTGAACTTCTTAATAAACGAATCCCGTTTCGATTGTCCTTTAATTGCAAAAACTCCTTTATTGTATCCCTTCACGGGGTGTAGTAAGCGAAAAAGGAGGCGTGACACCGGGCATACGCCAAAGTCCCATATTTTTCTACGGATCCTCCGGGACCGTCGGAACACGGGTCCGGGGTCTGTTTACCCAAAATATTGACCGAAGTCAACTGAAATCATATTTCTAAGCCAAAAATTATTATTTCTTAAATTTTTTCCCACAAAAGCTTTCCGGCATCGCGCCCGAAATGCGCACGCAAATCGAGGAAAGATAAACGGAGGTTTTCAAGGCCTCAGAACATGGAAACGTATTATAAAAAGAAAGATGACCTTTTGGGTCATCACATTCTCCACCTCTAAAACAACCGTTCGTCCTCGAATGGACATAGAAGAGTACCTGAGTCGGTGAAAAGATGGGGATATCGGCTCTGCATATCATGCTTGGACTCCTAGGTAGCTGCCTCAACAGGCTGACCTCTCCACTGCACACGAACCGACGGATAACTCTTCAATCTCAACTGTCAAACCTGCCGGTCTAGAATAGCTACCGGCTCCTCCTCGTAGGTCAAATCATGGTCCAACTGGACAGTGCTGAAGTCTAACACGTGGGATGGATCGCCGTGATACTTCCGAAGCATGGACACATGAAACACTGGATGCAAAGTTGATAAACCCGGCGGCAACGCAAGTCTCTAAGCCACCTCTCCCACTCGATCAAAGATCTCAAAAGGTCCGATGAACCTAGGGCTTAATTTGCCCTTCTTCCCAAATCTCATCACGCCCTTCATGGGCGACATCCGAAGAAACACTCGCTCTCCGACCATGAATGCCACATCACGAACCTTACGGTCGGCATAACTCTTTTGCCTGGACTGAGCTGTACGAAGCCTATCCTGAATGATCTTAACCTTAGCCAAGGAATCGTGTAACAAATCTGTACCCAACAACCGAGCCTTCCCCGGCTCAGACCACCCAACTGGCGATCAAAATCGTCTACCATATAATGCCTCGTAAGGGGCCATCTAGATGCTCGACTGATAGCTGTTGTTGTAGGCAAACTCCGCTAACGACAAGAACTGATCCCAAGAACCTCCAAAGTCAATAACACATGCTCGTAGCATATCCTCTAAAATCTAAATGGTATGCTCGGACTGTCCGTCCGCCTGAGGATTAAATGCAGTGCTCAACTCGACCCGCGTACCCAACTCGCATTGTACTACCCTCAAGAAATGCGAGTTAAACTGCGCACCTCGGTCCGAAATGATAGACACGGGCACACCATGAAGGCGAACGATCTCCTGGATATAGATCTCAGCTAACCGCTCTGAGGAATAGGAAACTGCTACAAGAATGAAATGCGCTGACTTAGTCAGCCTATCCATAATAACCCATACTGCGTCAAACTTCCTCTGGGTCCGTGGTAGTCCAACAACGAAGTCCATAGTGATACGCTCCCACTTCCACTTTGGAATCTCAATCTGCTAAAGCAAACCACTAGGTCTCTGATGCTCGTACTTTACCTGCTGACAATTCAAACACCGAGCTACATATGCAACAATATCCTTCTTCATCCTCCTCCACCAATAATGCTACTGCAAATCCTGATACATCTTAGCGGTGCCCGGATGAATAGAATATCGGGAACTATGGGCCTCCTCTAGAATCAACTCACGAAGTCCATCCACATTAGGCACACAAACACGACCCTGCATCCTCAAAACTCTATCATCTCCAACTGTAACCTGCTTGGCACCACCGTGCTGCATTGTGTCCCTAAGGACTAGCAAATAGGGATCATCATACTGCCGATCTCTGATACGCTCAAATAATGAAGAACGAGCGACTATGCAAGCTAGAACACGGCTAGACTCAGATACATCCAACCTCACGAACTGATTGGCTAAAGCCTGAACATCCAAAGCAAGCGGTCTCTCACCGACTGGAATATACGCAAGGCTGCCCATACTGGCTGACTTCCTACTCAAAGCATCGGCCACCACGTTGGCCTTCCCGGGATGATACAAGATGGTGATATCATAGTCTTTCAGTAGCTCCAACCACCTTCTCTACCTCAAATTGAGCTCCTTCTGCTTGAACAAATACTGCAAACTCTTATGATCCGTGAACACCTCACACGATACGCCATATAGATAATGCCTCCAAATCTTCTGCGCGTGAACAATGGCTGCTAGCTCCTAATCATGAACTGGATAATTCTTCTCGTGAATCTTCAACTACCGCGAAGCATATGCAATAACCTTGCCATTCTGCATCAACACCGCACCAAGTCCAATACGAGATGCGTCACAATAAACTGTATATGGCCCTGAACCTGTGGGCAACACCAACACTGGCACCGTAGTCAAAGCTATCTTGAGCTTCTGAAAGCTCGCCTCACACTCGTCCGACCACCTGAACAGCGCACCCTTCTGGGTCAACCTGGTCATCGGGGCTGCTATAGATGAAAACCCCTCCACAAACTGACGGTAATAACCTGCCAAACCCAAGAAACTCCAGATCTCTGTAGCTGATGTGGGTCTAGTCTAGTCCCTGACTGCCTCAATCTTCTTAGGATTCACCTGAATACCCTCTGCTGATACAACATGACCCAAGAAAGCAACTGAACTCAACCAAAACTCACATTCCGAAAACTTAGCATATAACTGACTGTCTCTCAGAGTCTGAAGAACGACTCGAAGATGTTGCTCGTGCTCCTCTCGGCTGTGGGAGTAGATTAAAATATCATCAATGAAGACAACCACGTAGGAATCCAAATAAGGCTTGAACACCCGGTTCATCAAATCCATAAATGCTGCTGGGGCATTTGTCAACCCAAATGACATCACTAAAAACTCATAATGCCCGTACTGAGTGCAAAAAGCTATCTTAGGGACACCAGATGCCCTAATCCTGAACTGATGGTAGCCATATCTCAAATCAATCTTCGAAAATACCTTGGCACCCTAAAGCTGATCAAACAAATCATCAATCCTCGGCAATGGATACTTGTTCTTGATGGTGACTTTGTTTAACTGTCGATAATCTATACACATCCTCATCGATACATTCTTTTTCTTAACAAACAACACCGGCGCACCCCAAGGCGAGACATTAGGTCTAATAAAGCCCTTATCAAGCAAATCTTGCAACTGCTCCTTCAATTCTTTCAACTCTGGCAGGGCCATGCGATACGGAGGAATAGAAATGGGCTGAGTGCCCGGAGCCAAATTAATGCAAAAGTCAATATCCCTGTCGGGTGGCATCCCCGGCAGGTCTGCAGGAAATACCTCTGGAAACTCCCGAACAACTAGTACAGAATCCATGGAAGGAACCTCAACACTAGAATCACGAACATAGGCCAAATAAGCCAAACACCCCTTCTCGACCATACGCCGAGCCTTCATATAAGAGATTACCCTGCTGGTAGAATGACCAAGAGTCCCTCTCCACTCCAATCGAGGAAACCCCAGGAATGCTAAGGTCACGGTCTTGGCCTGACAATCCAATATGGCATGATAAGGTGACAGCCAATCCATTCCCAAAATGACATCGAAATCAACCATATCGAGAAGTAGGAGATCTACACTAGTCTCAAGCGCCCCAATAACAACCACACACGAGCGAGAGACACGATCTACAACAATAGAATCACCCACCGACGTGGACATATATACGGGCGCACTCAAAGAATCACGAGGCACAAC